CCATTATATGCATAAATATGGTAAAACTGATTTAATGAAAAAATGTATTTAAGGGCAAGAAAAACAAATATTCATCCAATACTAATACTTAGTATAATCTTTTAGTTATAGGATGTAACTCAATAAAACCAGCATGTGGACTTCAATGACATAATAGGATAATTATTTTATAAATAATTTAGCACCGAAAGATACTAACTCTGCCAACACAGCTTGCAGCACTTGTAAAATGCTTGCTTGTGAAAGACAGTCATTGAGCAATAGTTGGAGACTGCAGCCAACGTTTTTGTTATTACCTAAAATTAGGCACTTAACCTATTTATGGATATTGAAATAGAATAGGGCTGACCTTTGAAATGCTGGTCTGGCTGTGTGTTTCCATGCCAAAGAAGCATTTAGAGTTTGATCACTTTGAAATGAATGAATGTAGGCATAACATCTAGTATTTGTGTAAAATTACAGTATCAAAATGTAAAATTTTAATGGATTTATTTTATGATGACTAAACAGATTAAATTATAACTACTGTTATTAATTTACTACTGGAATTTGTTGTCTTGAAGTGTATTAAATTTTACCCTGTTTTAATTAGTGACTTGATCTCTGTTTCTTACAGAGATTCAAAACTGATTTTTCAGTAATTGCTGTTTATTAGATATCCTGACAGATGGGTTTTTGAAACCTGTTCGTTTCAATTATTCATTGTTTGAGATTCATGTTGTGACTAATTCCGTAAATCGCAAGTCTCTGTGTATAAGTAGATAACTAAAACATTAACACCAGAAAAACAGCAAATGCCTCCCAGGAGTTTTTGGATGAACACCAGTCTGTGAGATACTCTGCACAGGTCAACACTGACCAAACGTGGAGTCATTATATACTGATAAAGAAAAAAAATATAAAGTAAATTCATACACAGTGAACCATTTTGAACTGATGAGTCTATTCTGACTGTAAATTGTGAATGATTTTCCCCCTGTTGTCTTACTTTTGATCTCTGCCTTATGTTATATATTAATATCATTTCGGTTAAGGTAGTAAATTAGTGTGGACAGAGTTGCTAGAATTGCCTTTAGGCTGTGGGTGCAAAGGAGTATTTGGATAAGTAAAGTATTTACGTGGTTCTTTTTGAATAATCTTAGATTCACTGAAAATAATTACTTGTTTAGTTCCTATCCTGCTTGCTTTCATTGTACACCTCAGCATCCTTACCCCTTTTAGGGGGCAAATTTGTGCATGTACTGAATTATTAGCAAGTCTTAGTTCTGGTAGTATAGCTGGTTAATTTTCTTCATATAGTTATAATTTTTGTATTTTTTTTTTTTTGTAAACATGAAAGAAGGTGAAAATTGGCAATACTTACAAAGGCTGAAATCCTTGTACCTGGAGGAAAAAAAACTTTTTGGCACTCAATTTTAGATGTACAAATAGGAAATAATCTGCACTATAAAATGAAAAATAAAATATTATTTAAACCAGCATATTCAATACCCTCTTAACCACAGAACTATGTAAAACTTGACCACTGAACTGTGAAATAATATAAATTCTATTTTGGATCCAGAATGCATTCAACAGAATACTGCGGTCCAAAAATATTCACTCAAATTTAATTATTCTTGTTTCTCAACATAATTATAATGAGAGCTATTCCTGATAGGAAATCTCAAGCAAATATTTTAGATTGGCCTCAAATTTTCATTATAATTTTGTCTGGTCTTTTAAACAGACTATTTCTAGGGAGTAACCTGACTTTAAGTGATTAAAACAGTTTTGCTGTACTATTACCACTTATAATCAGAAGAACACAGATTTTTAAAGGAGCATTTGTTTTCCCTCAGTTGTCAAGAGATCTCATAAAACTTTACAGTTAATTTACTTTATTTGAAAAATTACCATCTTTGTCATATCTGTAGTTCATTATTTGGAAAATAAGGTTTATATGGGATAAGATTTGAGCATCGGTGATTTGGGGGGACATTCTGTGAACAAAAGTTATTGCTTAATATATAGCAAGTATTGAAGGGAAATACATAGGTTTAAAACATAAAGCAGCTATGGTTTTGGTGTGTAATTTAGCAAACTGCAAATAATTCCTGCAGTGTAGGCTTTCATTGGAGAAGAAATCTTGACTTAATTGGTTCTAACACTTGGGCTTTCCCTTGGCATCAATTCAGCCAAGTTTTTCATCTTGTACTTCTGTAGGTTCTAACTGAATTTAGCTTAAGCTGTAACAGGGATGGCATCTTCTCACTGCCAAAACTTCACATCTAACCTAAAAGTATACTAAACTCTTACTCAGGGTGAAGTTAGCAATCAAAGAACTTAGAAAAGGTGATGTTTATGAAACATGAACATAAATTTAGGAAAACAGCTGATGGAATTTTCTCATTAGATGGTAAATTTGAGAGTCCCCTTAAAACTTCTTCAAATTCAGTTGTTTCAGCAAAGTAATGTCTCTGTGAACATGGTTTGCTAATGGAATATATCTGCAGCTGTGGGGCTTGGGGGTTTTTGTTGGTATCAAAACGTTTTCAGTGCTAATAATGAGATACTTAAAAATGGTTCCTTAATGAGCAGCTAAGGACATTATTAAGCTAATAAGAACAAGAAACATATATATGTATATATATGTGTCCATATAAAAAACACAGGGTCATGAATAAAAGGAGCAACGGAGGTCAGAGTCCTCACCTTAGCATTTAACCACAATGGAAACAGTCTGTTACTTTACAGATTGTTTTGTTTCTATATTACTGCTTCCTAGCTGGATGCAAATAATACCTAATGGCACGTATGGGGGAAAGAGAGTGGTCCTCAAATGAGGGCCTTTTAAAAGGCATTAAATCCAGAAGTTAAAAACCCCTCTCTTTATACAGATTTTTAACATTTGCCACCAACGGTATGTTAAAGGATTAATTCCCTGCCCTTCATTCTGGACAAGTTTATCTTGTGCCAGTGAGAACTCTGTATGTAAAAGGAAGAAATACAATAACATGAAACAAGACCTACAGACCTTTGCATTTTTCCTCTTTATCAATCATTTCCCCATCATTTTTCATATGCTTCTCCAAGGATTCAAGTCTGAAGCTTTCACAAAGGAGTAATTCTGCTTACAGTGGGTTTTTACTTACAGAAAGGCCTCCAGCATCAAACTGGATCCTGCAACAGAGTTTGAAGTCCCCTTGCCCTCTGCCTCCTGGGTTCCTACCCAACCAGCCGTGTTCTTGCAGAGAAAGCAAACGCGCCCAGCGTCCCTTTCTCCCTTGTGCCAAACTCGTGTCCGCTTAAGCTCTCCTGAGCTTGTTTGGCATGTTAGTTACCCATTTCCCTGCTTCTGCCACCTTTCAAAGTAATGTCTAGCTGGACCAACCCAAACAGACAGGGAGTGGGTTACAAGCTTTAGTACTGTTTCTAAACACAGTTTGTTTGAGATGGTAGTTTTAGCAATTGCTGGTATTTGTTTAACTTAGAGATAGACAAAATATTTATAGACTGGTGTCAATGTCAATGTAAGCTTTTAGCACAGATTATAACAGAAATCTAGTTAGGAAATTTAGCCCAGGTTTTCTCACTTTGTAATATCTATCTGTATACAACAGATTTGCAAACTCTGTAAAAGTAAATATATGATTTTTCAGGGGAAGAGGTAGGGGTGGTTGAGCAACAACAAAAACAGTGTAACAGTACAAAAAATTTGAAAACTTTCTTTGGTTTTGAACATTTGCAGAGACACTGTTTAATAATCATAGCTGTTGTTGGAATCTTTTATTGAAAATATCAAGGAAGGAATTAAAAAAATTACTTATTGTATACAAATACATATAAAAAGTAAAGAAATATAGATGCATACACTTGTGGACTAATGAAAATTGCCAATAGGTCATCTAATGGAATTTAGAAAAGCTGTTACCTTTATGATTTTTGTAGCTGCTGCTGTATAAAATGATGAGTTTCTACTGAAAGTATGATTAAAACCCAGTTTTTTACATATACAATCTTTGTGTTCCCTTTCAGGTCTTGAGTCATCTCGGCCAAATTTAATTCTTGGATTGGTTATCTGTCAGAAAGGGAAACGTCTCGCCACCGGCATTGAAACAGAAAAGATAGAGGAAAAGCGAAGCAGGATTCAAGCACATGAGGAAGCAGAAACATCACTGTTCTCTAAAGGGCCACCAGCTGCTTCGCAAGAGAAGAAGACTCCAAAATACACACTGTATTCAGGAGATTCAGCCGTAAGTACAACACCACCTGGATCTCCTCCACCTCCACCCCCACTTCCCATTCCAGACACCTCGGCAGTCACACCTTCAGTGTTAAAAATACTGTCCTCGATTAAAAGTGGAACCACCAGTACTGTAACACCACCAATTTCAACTGCTGCTTCTGCAAGCGTCACTGCTACGCATTCTTCATCTTCAAAAACGGCCACACCTCTGGAACACATCCTGCAGACACTTTTTGGAAAAAAGAAAACTTTTGAGCCCCTTGCTAAGGATTCTGAAACTGTCCAGTCTTCAAATCAGGAAGGTCAGGCTGCTGCTGATGGAGGGATGTCAGCTGTTCCTTTGTTAGATCCCATTGTGCAACAGTTTGGACAGATGTCAAAAGACAGAGCTATAGAAGAGGAGGAGGATGACAGGCCATATGATCCTGAAGAAGAATACGGCCCGGAGAAAGCTTTTGAAATGCAGCCTGGTGAAAGTGAAAAACGATACAATGTGGAAAAGCCATCTAACACAGCAGAACTGGAGGATGAGGCCTATGATCCAGAAGATGAGACTATCTTGGAAGAAGCAAAAGTTACCGTGGATGATTTACCTAACAAAATGTATACTGACACTAAAAGCAATTCTTTGGAAACACCTGCTTCGTATGTGCCTGATTTATCTGCATCCTCATCCTTGGTAGAACAGCAAAAAATGTTGGAAGAATTAAACAAACAAATAGAAGAACAGAAAAGACAACTAGAGGAACAAGAAGAAGCCCTCAGACAACAAAGAGCAGCTGTTGGTGTTTCAATGGCTCATTTTTCAGTGTCTGACGCTTTAATGTCACCACCACCAAAATCTTCCCTAGTAAAGACTGAATTATTCCATCAGGACCAGCAAGCTACACAAAAAGTAGATTTACCTTCATCTTTAAATCAGCAAGCACAAGTGTTAAACCAGGGCTGTGACCCAAGGCAGAACAGAGATCCTCGACAAGCTAGAAGAATGGCAACAGAGACAAATGACAATGCTGATTCTCGACTAAGGCCACAGGTGGTACAGAATGAGATAGCCACAAGAGAAATTGCTCCAGCAAGTTTTCCAAATGCTTTGCAGACATCATTTGGTAAGGAAGATAAAACTTTGGTTTCTGCTACTCAGCCCGGTTTTAGTGGTGATAATTGGGTTTCAAGTGAAAAGGCTTCTGTAGTGTCCCAGAAAGAGGCATCTAATAGCAAATTTGAAAACACTGTTCAAGTTAATTTGGAAAACGTGAGTCAAACAGCTTCTGGAGAACCTTCTGCATCCAAACCTTTACGGAAAGTGCTGCTTCCAACACCTCCCAGTACGTCTTTCCAGCCTAATTTCTCCACATCAAATGACAGTCAGTCTTTGCAAGATATGCACAAAGTATCGTGGTCAAATGAGTCAAAGGAAGTAATGGGAAGGGATTCTTTCCCAAATACAATGTTTACTTCTCAGGAACCAGAGAGGGGTCTTTCATCAGTGCAATATGATGAACAAAGGAATGCTCAGTCTCATCAATTTGTAGAACAAAGTGAGTCTCCATCAGTTCAGAGTGAGGGTGGACCTTCCCCACAGCACTTTGAAGAAAACCGAGCTGGACCTCCATTTTCTTTGTCTGGGCAGAAGGGAGGGCCTCCACAACCACTGATGCTCAATCCACCTGGAGGACCTCATGGACCTAATTTCAGAGGACCGGCACCACAGTTCTCTGAAGAGCATGGTTCTCCAAATAACGATGGGCAAAGAGGCCCTCCATCTGGAAGATTTGGAGGTCAAAAGGGGCCCATTCCTTCCTTATTTTCTACACAGCATGGACCACCATCTCTTTTTGGTGATAATAGGGGCTCTGCCCCTTCTTATCATGGTGTTCCAAGAGGAATGTCACCATCTCAGTTTGAAGATCGTAGGGAACCTCACATGGAACAAAGGGAATTCTCAGATTCCCAGTATAATGAAATGATTAGGCCTCCAGGACAGTTTGAAGGACCAGATCCACCTCAGTTTATGGGAAACAGAGGACCTTCGCCTTTTCCTTTCGGAGGTCAAAGACGACCCCCACCAGCTCAGTTTAAAGGACAGAGAGGAGGCCCTCAGTTTGGAGGGCCAAGAGGTCCAGCCCCAAGTCATTTTGGGGGACCAAGAGGGCCTCACCCAAATCAATTCGAAGGGCAGAGAGGTCCAGCTCCAAATCATGTACCTGGTCCAAGAGGACTTTTGCCACAGCCATTTGAAGAACGGAGAGGGAGTCCACCACCCAGGTTTGCCAACCAGAGAGGTCCAGCACCTCTGCAGTTTGGAGGACCAAGAGGAGCCACACCTGGACTGTTTCCAGAAGAAAATGAACCTCCCTCTTCCAGGTTTCACTTCCAAGGTCAGTCACCACAAGGTATGAAGCCAAGCCCAAGACCTCTCCTGGACCTTCCAAGTCATCCACCATCCCACAGAAAAGACATGTGGGAGGAAGCTGGACCATCTGCATCTCTTTCCAGTATTTCTGGACAGGGGTCTGAGGCGGAAGGACAGTGGTCAGCATCTGACTTCCGAGAAGGCAAAAATCCTGAATTTAGAGGCCAAACATTTGAAGGGAGACAGAGAGAGAGATATGAGGGAGGAAATAAAGACAAGGTTTTAGATCAGCCAGAGCCTCAGCAAGCAGACAATCGACAAGGTAGACCCTTTGAGGAAAGACGAAGGGATCGAGAACATGGCAGACCTTGGGAAAGAGACCGTGGCAGAAACTGGAATAGAGACAGGGACTGGGAGAGACACAGAGACAAGGAATGGGATAAAAATAGAGACAGAAACCAAAACAAAGATAGAGAGAAGGATTCAGAGCGAGCTAAAGAATGGGAAAGAAACAGAGACCGAGAGAGAGCAAGAACCAGAGAGAGAGAATCCTACAGAAGACGTGACAGAGAGCGATCAAGAAGCAGAGACAGAGATCGTGACAGAGAGAAAGACAGGGACCGGGATCGAAGCAGGGAAAAAGAAAGAGAGCGAGAGAGAGATCGAGATCGTGAAAGAGAAAGAGGAAAAGATCGCAAAGATCGGAGCAAGAGTAGGGAAATTGGTAAAGAGGTGAAGCCAGAAACACCGAAGGAAACTCAGAAACCAACAGAAACAGAAGCTTCATCTTCCACTAATCAGTCATAGAAATATGACTGGTATTTCCCATAAATAATATACTTTTAAAACACAGCAAAGACTGAGTCAGCATCTTCTGTATATACTGTATATTCTCACCTTTACAAAAATGCTGTTGTAAAACTCGCCTTACAAAATGTACTGACAAATTAGCAATTTTTGAACAACTGTGAATGAAAATACTCAAATAGGTAAAAGGCAAGAACATACTGGACTTTCACTTGCTGCATTTTGTGCATAATGTTTTTCTTATGAAAATTCACAGCGTTACCTGTACTGAAATTTTGTTTTTCTACTTGCATCTTTATCTTAAAATTTCCATTTACAGTACAGAAATGGAAAAAGTCTAAGAAGAGCATATTGCTTTTTAAGATTATAAAGTTATGTTTTCCAGTAACTTGAATTGTAATTTTATAAGAGAATTTAATCCAGACCTTAGGAGCCATACCTTTACATCTCATTTATGTAATTTGGTGTCAAAGTTGTTCCTGCAGCACACGCTTTAAAAAAAGGAGCCCAATGTTGCTGTCTTGTTCATTTTACAACGGAAGGGTCGTGTGTATTTAGGAAAAGGCTGCAGTGAAAAGAACAGTGTTAATAATTACTTGTGACGGATGGAGGATTTGAAAACAGAATGTTATAAGCTTAAAGTGCACTATCTTCCTTTTTATATACAGGTATTTTGTGTTTTGGAATCCATCTGTTAAGCGTACAGCAAAGAAACAAGTCATATTTAGTTTTTTCATGAGGCTGAGCGGTTTTAAATGTTGCATTTTTACAAATCTGTAATTAAAGAACATGCAAGAGTAGCACCTTTATAACCAGCAAAAACTTTTTAAAACATCAGACGTTTATTTGAAAAAGGCTAAGACCACAAACAAATTGGTATACCAAAGGAAAGACGAATAAGTTGGTTAAATAGGCCACTAAATCTGTTACGTTAATTGAACTGATTTAGTGGAGCATACTTTTTTTGGTTTGGTTTGGTTTTGCAGAATTTTGCCATAGACTTAAGAAATATCCCCATTTAATTTTACTTTTCATTCTAAAAGTGTTTTGCTCCTGAAAAAAGTGTCACTGTTCTTTTGTTAGATCCTATTTAGGCTGGTAGTGTATATAGAACTCTCCACTGAAAAAGGTATAACTGCATTAAGCTTGAAGAGAAGAGTGGTGGTACTTCATGTTGTCATTCAAGATGGAAGGTTTTCACTGTGAAATACATTACCTTGCTACTTTTCCATGTATTCTTCAAGTATGTAATTCTAAAGTATGAAATAAAACCCTGCTAATTTATTTGACCATTTAGATGAACAGTTGGGTAAATATTTTGATATTTTTATAAAATAGTTTTGGAAATGTAAAATTAGATTCCTATAAATGTTTGCATCTTGAAGACTACATTACAAGTAGCATGTACACCATGTATCTCACTACAGATTTTACAGTTCATATTGGTGCATCTTTGAAGTCCTTTAACATCAAGGATTTGCTGGTTGATCATCTGTATTCTGAACCTGTAGACAAAAATGTCAAAATGCAGAGAGGTGGTATTAAATGCAAACATCTACTATGGTGTAAGATTTTTTTCTTAATGAGATGTTTCTAATTTAATGACATACATAAAAGTATGCAAAAAGTTAAGTGTGTTTGTTTAGGTTTACTTGATAGAAATTTCTGTAAATTGTATTTTATATGGCAAAATATATCACTGTACATTAAAATATGGGACTTCACAGGTTTTTGTTACTGTAAGTAGAATAAACATCTACAGAGAACTGTTGTCCATTTCTTAAATCTGTATTTGTATATTATTTTCTAAATATTGCTACTTCTCAACAAGCCACGGGAGTCACTGCAGGAGACTTATGGTGCATAGGTTTCATTTCCTCATTGTTTAACGAAAGAAGATGTTTTGCAGGACATCACTACCAACTGAGGCGTAACTTTAGGCATTCTAAAAATCATATGAAAATCTGTGCATGTAAATTTTCTCTCAGTTCTAAAACATTCCCTAATTTAATCTGATTTTTTTTTTTTTAATTTGAATTAGGAAGTTTGTCATTTGTAGACTTTACACCGAAAGATCTAACAAACAGAAAAAATATTAATTGATTCAGGTCAGCTCTGAAATTAAGAAAAACTCAGTTCACACCATTTATGAATTCCTTGACTTTACATTGTTATGAAATCAGTGTGTGGCTTTTAATCTTCTAGGAAACACTCCTTTATCACGTGGGGGGAATCTCTTCACAATTTAGGAACAGTAAATGTGTCCTCCCACAGATGTAGTGGCAAAAAAATCCAACAGCATACAGACACTGATGACTTATTTTTTTAAACCACAGCTTTATATAGTTTATAATGACCTGGACTTGGATTTTGCAGTGAGGTTCCTGTGTCCTACCTGCAGCAGGCAGTAAAAGCTAGGTTGAAAAGAACGCAACAATTTAACTCAATTTAGACACTAAAAATGGTACTGGATTATTATGCATTGCAAGAAAGAGAAAAATAAAATTCACTGGCTTTGTTCAAACTTTTGATTCACACGAAACAACTTACTATTTTGAGCTTTTGTCTATGTTTATACTAACCAAAATTAACTTTCCAAAGAGTATTTTGCTAATTTTTTATGTAAAAGCCTCTGAAAGGTCTAGAACAATATAAGCAGAAATATTATTACATCTATAGAAGACTGTAATATTCCAACTTTATGCATTCTAATGGAAACATGCAGAAGGATTAGGGAAGGAAAGTGTGTATTGAGTCCAATGTGCACAAAACTGCTTTTAAAATTCCTGCTTTTGTTTCTAGAGGAAAGTCACCAGCATAACTTTCAGGCTTTGGCTACACCTCATATAATAGGTACACTTCCCCGTGGAAAATACCTGTGCATGCTTCCTTGAGTGAATATGCATGTCATCAAAGAATGCCGTAAACAGATTATTTTTTTTTAACCTCCTGAAGGGAATAAAGATTTCATAAAGTATTATTCTGTTTATGAGCTACAGTAGCATTTTTGTGCCTTTTGCGCTCTGGCTTGTTTCTAGAATGTGTCTTCTGTAGTAGGCATCTGCTTTTAATACTAAAATACATAACCAGGAGCAGATACATAATAGACAGTGAATGTACAAACAAACTGCTCACAATTGTGAGATGCCTGTTGTGGAGAGAGCGATTGTGTGGATGCATTCAGATGGTCTCTGAATGGAAGGCAGCATCCAAGCTCATTTTCATGAAATCATGTGATAATACCACTTTACAAGTCCAGAAAAATGGAACTTTCTTAAGGGGCTTTGGATTAACTTTCTACCAAATAACCGGTTTTAAACACTGGCAAACTACTACAGCGTTTATAATTTAGTAAATTAATCTTACAATAGGAAATCCAGGGCTGCGGACCCCACTGCTGCTGTGTATTGGGTGTGGGAAGGAGCCTCCTGCCTCCAGAGCTTCACAGCAGCATTCTTGGGGGGAAAAAAGGAAAAAGAGGAAAGCCTTTATTCTGAAACAAAACATAGGTGTTTATTTCAAACCATCATGGCTTTTTTTTTTCCTCTTACAATTTTCCTTCATACTATCTGTGCTATCAGTGGCTGCTAACAGCTAACAGCCAAGCGAGTACCAGACAGTACCAGAATCAAGAGGAAGGTGATGGACATGACGCAATCAATGATGCGAGAGGAGCTCCCGGCCCAACTGGGTTTGGGGAGGATTTTTAAAGCACTAGGAGTGACATTCAGCAGGCCCTGTGCTCCGGAGCGGCCGAGCTCCCCCGCCCTGCCCTCCACATAACGAGAAGTGAAAACAGCTTTCTACCGCGGGCTTATGAATTCCTAAGCCTTGTGCTGGTGGAAAAGATTCCTGTCGTGTCCACGTTTGACGGGCAGGCCTTATGTGGTAAAGCAACGCCGCGTTCCCGCCGAGTGCTTGGCATGACAAGACGCTCGCTGCCGTCACACTCAGCGGGGAGGCTCCTCCCGCTCCTCTCGGCAGCTTCCCCTGCCCGTTCCCTCACGGACCGGGCTGCACCACCCGGCCTGGCGGGTTTCCCGCACCCCGAACCGCACAAAGCACAGGACGCCAGGGCCGGGCCCGGCGGCACAGGAGGGGCGGGCACGCAAGCAC